ACATATAAACTACTGCCCTGTGTTTAATGTACATATACACTACTGCCCTATGGTTGATGTATACATAAACTACTGCCCTATGTTTGATGTATGCATATAAACTACTGCCCTATGTTTAATGTACATATACACTACTGCCCTATGGTTGATGTATACATAAACTACTGCCCTATGTTTGATGTATGCATATAAACTACTGCCCTATGTTTGATGTATGCATATAAACTACTGCCCTATGTTTGATGTATGCATATAAACTACTGCCCTGTGTTTAATGTACATATAAACTACTGCCCTATGTTGAATGTACATATAAACTACTGCCCTATGTTTAATGTACATATAAACTACTGCCCTGTGTTTAATGTACATATACACTACTGCCCTATGGTTGATGTATACATAAACTACTGCCATATGTTTGATGTATGCATATAAACTACTCCCCTATGTTTGATGTATGCATATACACTACTGCCCTGTCTTTAATGTACATATAAACTACTGCCCTATGTTTGATGTATGCATATAAACTACTGCATGGGTTTAATTTTGTTAACAAATATGTGACTCCCATGGAGAATTCAGTGTGGCTTGTTTATATATATATATAAATAAATATATATATAAATATATATATATATATTGATTGTTGTGGACGCCGACACGACCCAAGGTTAGAACTTAGTAACAAAACAGATGATGCCCGAGTTAATGGCAAACTTGATTAATATTTGATAGATTTAGATAAGCATGACTCAGTAATGGAGTGTACTATCTTTGTATTAATCTAATTGGTCCAGCAAACATTTAGGTAATAGTCGCTGTAATGTCGTAAGTAATTAAACAAAGAACAAACATGAAATCACGTGACTCATTTGTATTTGAATTAGTGGTTCACCTTTACAATAGAATATGTATGTATTTTGACCATAGAAACACCTCTGTCACTTACATAATGGCATATTATTAACACAATGCAATGTTTAGGTTATTTAAGTTGTTAAATGAGAAACAACAGTACCAAATCGGAAAAATATTATTGATATTTGTACCTATTTTGACCAAAAATAAGACAGATACTTATACCTAAAATCCAAAAAACGAGACCCATTTCAGGGGCACGTCCCCAATAGGCAAGTTCTATGTATTTACCCCCCCCCGGATGCTACTATTAGCAAATCTGCTCGCTGCTTGAATTAGTTTTTTTTTTAGAATTTTTGTGGAAACGTAAAGAATGCCATTATATGGTAAGATAGGTCCTGCTGCATTAGCTACACCTTGAATTAGCGAAAAACGTATATAGACAAAACAACTGACTGAAAGTAAACTATTTATGTTAGACTGTTTGTTAATTAGTTGAAAAAATTGGTGCTAAGTAAAAGAATGCGACTTGTTTACGTATATCGGTGCATAATATTCACTCAGTAAACAAAGCGATAAAATGAAATCTGCTTACTGGGAGTGATTCTCATAGAACAAGGCGACAGTGCCACATTTCTGTAACATAGTATCCAACTATATACATATTATTCCCATTACATATGAACGGTATTTGTAAACCTACGAATTGATTTTTGTAAAACACATGTTATTCTGATATTCATTATAAATGTTTAAGTGCGCCCATTACCGTGGCGCATGAGTCTGTCTCACTGTTAATGACTTTACTTGTGGTGATTCAGGGCTTATTTGAATTTAATCTGCTCTGCCTCGGCACAAAATGTAATCTATTTAAGTGGTCTGTGTCATCGTTATCTTAAAAGTTTTCTTGTGTTATCTTAAATTTGTAGTGTTAGGTACATATCGTTTATATCGTGTCATCTTGTATCAACTGACATTCCACAGTAGTACATACAACTATAGGTCTGTAGCGTGTTTATCTTGGAGGTATTCCATTAAACACACATACGTAGTATCCATTACTGGGACATGAATCTTGTAAGCTGCAGGGCTGACCCACACACCAATTTATAATGCAGTGGTTCATTCCTGTGACGTCATCCACTGCTGCCTCCAATGCGTAAACACGTTGTCGATGCTGGTATATATAAATATATATATATAGAGAGAGAGTGCATTTGGCGAGGACCAAATGAAAATTACTACACAAGTTTAATAAATCTGATATTGCAGGGTCACTCGTGACATATTCTTATTATCTTATGTATCTATTCCGAAGCTTCTGAAGTCTACAAACTATTAAGGCAGAGATCGTAGTTTGTGAGCGTGTATTAAAGAACATAGAGCCTTCTGGATCATAACATAACCGATCGCCGTGCACGAATGCCGATTACCGTTAGTTTACTCTATTTCGATTAAGAAATATAGTAATTGATGGAGTCATTCCTATATTTACGGTTTGCTGGATGTATTTGTGACATAATAGCTAATTTTGAAGCCAATTCTAACTAGGGTCGTTTTGTAATCCGTCGCCCAATACAATACGTGGAACAACAATTGTGTGCGCGAAGAAGTTGAGACTGGGATAGCCGTGGATTTAGGTCCGGATAGGTCGTATACTCTGTCTGTCAGTGTACCGAAGCTACCATGTACACTGACAGACGAAGCTTAGGACTTATCACAACTTAAAAAGACGGGAAACCACGGCTAGAAGCATTTGAAATAAAGTCTCGCATATACGTGGCTTAATACCACACATGCATTTTTTGCCTGATATCTGAAACAACCAGAAATATTCGAATATTTTCATCCTACCATATAAGGAGATGCAAATTCAAAATATAGAACGATTATGCGCGTAAGCGTCCTCTAATAATACAAATGATAATTTGTTCATATAGCAGTATGGTCACTAAACAGAACTATAACTATCAACTAATTTCAAAATAGAATATACATATTTGGCAAAAGGTATAATAGAATGAGTGTCTAAAGCACCTAATAAATATATGAACTTACATTCTTCATTAAGTTTTTCAAATTCTGGAAAGCTAATTTTGCTAATTTAGTGCAAACATGCCTGCCACCAGGGTTTGACCGGACTCCACACAAATAAGTTCGCTGATTCTGTTCCATGCACGAAGACAGTACAGCGGGAGTGTCGACCGACGCGCAGCAGAGGTCGATGCGACTGCGTACTGTCTTGTATGATGTATCCTCGTAATAACCTCATATTCTTAATAATAATTAAAGCAGTGGCGGGGGGGGGGGGGGCGGTCGCCCACCTGAAAAAATGTTTTGGGATGGGGACGTCGCCCCCAAAATCAAGCTGAAACTCTTTGTGTCAACAGATTCGATCATTTTCCGATACCTTTTATATTTCTTTTATATTTCATATGTCAGTTTGGTATATGTCACACATAACAATATGATGTACATGATATTTAATGTATGTATGGTCTGTTTCTGGTTACTATACTATTATATTTATAGAATAAGAAAGTTGAATGTGGAAAAGAAAAATGTAGATCAATGGACGATTGTGCTCTTGTTATAACAAGTTTGGGTTTAGATTGCTGTGAAAGGTGTAAAGGTACGTGAATTAACCGGAGAAGTCAGATTTGTGGGAGTTGCTGGCCAACAATGATGCAATAATTGTACAGATATCTTTTATTTTTGTCAGACCGTCCACAACGACATGTTGATTGCATTGCTACCAGAGCCCATACTGAATGCCCACTGTCCACTAGCTAATAAAAGCACATTCATGCTACCTCAGATTCGGTATTGAGAATTTTTGAAATATATATTTTTTAGATAAAATTGAATTAGAAGACTAGTAGTATATGTTTAAGTAGCAATTTCTTGTATGCATGTTGGCAAATAGCAAACATAAACCATTATTAGACTACTAGTTTTAATGTCAGCAACATTTCTTAGGTTGTTTTTTAAATGGTGAACGATATGAAAGCGGAGAAACATGGACGTCGAATGATGATGTATGTGAAATATTCCGTTGTCAGGTATGTGTTTTCCTATTACGGGTTGCTTTTATCACCGATATGTCTTTCATGATGGGAAAATGCAATCTTGTATTCACATCAAGTTTGTGTTTATTCATAATGTTTCTGTTCAAGTCTGTGTCTATTCGCAGCATTTGTGTTCAGTAATGTTTTACTTTCACAGGAAGGCGCTGTGACGTCATCAAAAATACAGTGTTTTGTGCCGTGTACCAAGCCGATTGCTATCACAAATCAGTGTTGTCCGGTATGCCAAGGTACTGTCACGTTGAACAAATACAGCACGTTACAGCAATATGCCGTCACGTAATATTGACAATAAATGACGTCACAAAAATATAAGTTTCCCGGGGGACACAATTTCTGTTGAATGAAATGTTTATACATACATACATATAAAAATACAATAGTAGAATTCAGTTCAGTTTGGTAGGATCAGAATTGTTTATTGTTGTCTTTTATTATGACTTTTCATAGGTTGTTCGTTTGAAGGAAAAAGTTATAACAATGGCGACACTTTCAGCGTGTACAATGACGTTTGTGTGCAATGCTCATGTGAGGTGAGTACACGTGTACCGGTCGTTAAGTTAAATTAGCACACTTATAAATAAATGACCCATAACCGATGTGTTCCCCGACCATTGTTCATGTGGGAAAATACATACCAATATATTCTCACAATAATGTGATATTTTCCTTTGTAGAACAAGAACGTATATTGTGAGAAACAATCATGTCCTGTTCTCTCGTGTCCTCTGGAACAACAAGCAACTCAACAGGGTACGTGCTGTCCAGAGTGCACAGGTAAGATGACGTCACAACGCTGTTCATTTTCCCAAACTTCACTATGCCATTCATCTATACTCGGTAGCGATCGAGTTACACCTCAGTTCACTACTCGTTACACAACTATACATTTACGTGCTCTGAGGTTAGAAACGCTGTACCCCCAAGAAAAAAGGGGGGTTATAATGATCTTAACTAAGGAAGTAGGTCGTGAGCCAGAATGACATGTGGATATTCTGACAACATTTACATTGCGAGTACAGGCAGGGACGGTAGAGTGGGACGTTTTGTTTTTTCACTGTTTTACGAGTGCGCCCTCTTATCAGCCATCGTTGTATGTAAAATAAATGTACCCATAATTCAGCACCATGGAAAGAATGCTATTATTCGTTGACTCGGCCTGCAGCTAGATTATTTTTAAGATGATGTCGCCGCTTTCGTCTATTAAATGTGTGCGTAATGTTTTATAATGTATTCTTTTGATAATTTTCCCTGTGTAGTAGATTTGTTTCGCGGATCTTTCAATTCCCGACTTACACCATCTCGTTTCCTTCCAGTTCGTCGTCGTGTTTTTGATTTAGCAAATCGTTGTTTGTTCCGTAATTCAATCTACTATGACGGCGAATCATTTGAAGAAGATCAATGTACTAAATGCATTTGTTTGGTAAGTTGTATTGTAATGGGTGCATCTGAGTGAGTGGTCACGTGACACGTCAAATGTCTGGAATCCCGTGTGGGAATACACTTGTAAAGACGAAGTCATTCCTCACCCCACTGTATACGAGAAATATCATTAAAATCACTGCACATGTCAGAGGTCAGAGTACCGTCCATTGCAGTTACTCGTTTGCAATACCAATCACAGGTTTTATTTTTTTCCAGGATGCAACGGTAATTTGCCGACGTGAAAACTGTCCAATATTAGGCTGTGAAGAAAAGGACATTATATTGGAAGCAGGGAAGTGTTGCCCGGAATGTCTGGATTATACTTGTAGTGAAAATAGCAATATTTACATGGTTGGTATAGAATGACGTAATATACTAATAGTTATATTGAAAGCGGGAAGAAGTGTTGCCTGAAAGATTATACGTGTTGTAAGAATGACAATGTTTACATAATAATGACGTCTTATAGTGACATAACTAGCTGATGGTGATGGGTGTGTTAGATCTGGACAATACATGTACAAACTGGTGCCATTGCATGCGCAAATATGACGTTTGCAGTCACTCGTTTTGCCGTTAAGGGCGCTATATTCAACTTTACAACCATTGATAGTAAGTTTGCGCATATAGATGTAGGCGTAGCCGAAATGTATATGGTTCTATAATATATAGTTTGGCGTTAGATGTGAAATGGCAACAAATTTCAGATATAGTGTTACAATTATTAATAAATTTCCAAATCTCAGTCACGCTTCTTTTACGTATAAGGTGGACTTTCTGATATGATATACGTGAAACAAGTCGTGTATTTCCTTGGCATTATGTTCACGTGGTGATGATTTATTGTAAAAACTAAGGAATTATTGACATGTTTATTGAACTACGACAACAACATGTTTACTCGTCTATGAAATGGATACCGAGTCGAGACAAATATGATTGACTTGGTGTGAAATAGTCAGTGTAAACTTGGACACAACATACATGTACACTGATCTTATTGATTGTCATTATAGGAGAGTGAAACGTGGTTTAAAGAAGACGACTCTTGTGTACAATGTACGTGTAAAAGAGGAAAGATAACATGTGACCACATACAATGTGATAACATAGTTGACTGTCCGTATGTAAGTTAATAAACCAATATAACACTGGCGTTCACGTTAGAGATCTCGGCAAGTGCCGATACTCGGGACCGAGTCGGCACGTGCCAAAACTTGTGTATGAACGGTCGGGACCGAGGCGGCACGTGCCGCAAAAACTCGGTCCCGATGGATGCTTGGGGCCGAAACTCGCCACGTGCCGAGAGTTGCTGCCTGAACGCTCGTCGCGAACCGAAATCACACCCTCGGCGGTGAATTTAAGAGAACATATACTTATTCATACTACAGAGTAGTATGACATGACATGACGATGGCGGGAAGTGAAGCTATATATGGTCGGATGCTGTCGTAATGAATGAAATGAATGCAAACGTTCGTCAGGAACGCATATTTATGTGCTGCTGCAACCGGTATTTTCTTGCAATTCCACATCGACGCGAACAAATAATTGTTTTTCGAATCTTCTTTCCCGTTCATGTGCACGATGTCAAGTAATAAATACCATAACAACAAATCGATATAATTTCAAAATAGCAATTATTATTATCATCAATTTCGTATCGTTTTCTCTGTTTGGGTCAAACAACAGATCGACGAATGAGGGCGTGATTTCGACACGAGCCGAGTGGGTTCCGGTGTGGGTACGGACTAACGTGAACGCAACTGCTAATCCCTCTCCAAACATGAAGAATT